GACAAAGCTTATCCTATTCAAGCACCAGTAAAACATTCACACAAATTGACCAGTACGTGTCTTCTACATCAGCTCCAATAAACAGGCCATTCGGCCTTCAGGTCCTTTTCTTCAGTTTCATGTTCTCTGTTACTACAAATCGATATCAAGCTTATGTGGAGTGAATTCTATTCACACGGTTTTTATTATAAAACACACTGGTTATAATAAAACAGAGAACAGCTTGGTCTGAGTTATAGGAAACTTTGTTGCTGAAGTTCTCATTTAGATTCAGTAAAGGTTAAGGTAAGTTGAGGATTCGACCCTATGACCTTGTGTCGTGGTTTTGATGGGTTACTTAGGCTCCAACCCCCGATACACAGACCAATCACTGTCTCCTGGGGACTTGATTTGGTGGATTACCAAATCCGGGCTGAAAACACTGTTGGCAACGCCCCCCGTAACCCTCAAGCGACGGCCACTCTCTACAACGAGAAAAAAAAAAGGAAAAGATCGAGATCAAACCAAACAAATACAACAAACACTCAGAAATCCGCAGAGACACGTGCAAGCGGCCGTAAAAGCTTCTATGAACGCGGCCTGCGTCGCTAGATCCCACGCCTTGTACAAGACCGGACAGCCACTCCGAATCTTGAGAAAAAGAAAACGGACGCGCGTCAGAAAAAATGCAGTTTTACGTGCATACGCTGTCTCATTAAAAGCGCATTAAACAAACCCTGATCTGTGCCTACATAGCCCTTATTGTTACTTGGCTTACTCTTCTAACCACGAGCAAGTATTTACAAAAAAGAAACTAACGAAACGCGATCCAAAGAACAGCAGCACGCCGGCATAACTCGCGTCGCGCGTACCGCGTAGCGCAGCAGACCACCTCCTTCCGGGACAAGCGGCGGCACTTCCGGTGGCTTCGCAAGCTCCCGCTTCGGGTAGCGCCGGTGCGCCATCCAGCTCCCTAGTGGAGGTCAGTGGTGGGGTACCGGCTTTCAACCACGGAGCCATAAATATAATCGCATATTCTGAAGCCAATTGGCAATGGACGCGTACGCTTGTAGCGTGCATTACACCTGCAATATTTCATGTATGCAGGACGCGGGTGTTCGTGAAGCATGAAAGCTACTTTCACTAGATTTCCAAGCAGAGGAAGTTATTTTCACTGTTCCCACAAGTAGAAACATGGCCGTATGGTAGAACATTCGCTTCCCACGCAAACGACCTGGGTTGTAGCCCCACTTAGACCCAAACAACCCTGGTTTGGTACGCACTCTGTTCCAGGATTTTTATTGTTTGTTTACTTCATTTGCATGGTTATTTATTTTTCGGTCACGCAGAAGATGATTTTTCGCTCGAAACCAACGACGGCAACGCCGAAATTTTTGCGAAATCAACTCTTTAACGCTGTCGCGTTAAATGCACATGTGACGTTTGAGCCAGAGTGCTTACTTCAGTAATGAATAAAAAGAGCATACCTACGCGTTGTCATAATTTGCGACAACTTGGAAAACGCCGTCCAGCAAGCTTGCATGCAATCTAGATTGAATATTACGCGCTAGCAGCCAAAATGGGATTTTAAACGGCCACCAGCAAAACCAAAGAGTAACTTTTTAATAACGTACCTCACTTCTTTGTAGCAAGACGATGACTGCGTGCTTATAACGTGTCTCGAATAGATACCAACGCGCCATTGCGATTGATGTCGCGACTACACGCCGCGCCAGGCAGACGAGTGCCGCGCGATCCATAGGGCACGACCGGCATCTCGCGGCACCTTCAGGAGGCGACTGCCCCGCTGGGCTTTGCGCCACCAGCCAATCTCGGAGGTCATGCTGCCACATGGTTTCCTCCTCTGCCACATGGCGCGGCGAGCGCTGCTGCCAGCTGCGGTGGTTGCTATGCAACTTCTCAGCTCGCGGTGCGGCCACCGGCCACAGCGAAACGGCGAGAATGCGGCCAGTGTAGCTCTTGCTACAAAACCTTGTTAAGTTTGTTTGGACAAACTGGCCGGTGCCTTCGGGTGCCTCGAAGGATACCGCACCCCTCTGACGAAGGTCCGTGTTGCACGTGCCAGGGCCTGTTCTTCTCGGTGACGGGAGTGGCACTGCTGGATCTGGCTGACGTGTACGGCACCGATGTGGGCAGCGTCGCGCAGCTGGTCACCACTCGCGGTGTCGGCATCCTGGCGGGCAGCTTCTTCGGTAAGCCTAGTTACCCAGTTGCTGCTTCTTCCACTACGCTGCAGCGGCAATCTTCTTTTAGCAAGGCTGTTTGCTGGCCGATTCGGTACTTATTTAAAGACATGTACTTAGCCGCGCACTAGAACACACACAAAGGGAGGAGCACGATCACGGAATGAGTGGCATTTCCGATAGAATTACCTTGCGCATTAACCCAGACATAAGTGCACTCTATGAAGTAAAAAAAGAAGAGGGCTATCGAGGTTGTTTTCCCTCGGAAGTAACTAATCTGCCGCAGCCATTTCTTCGTTTTGGGCGTAACTTTACTCCCCCTTCCCGATATTCCTCAAAGGAGCAACCATTACTCTTTGCGCAAAAGAAAGACTGTTGCTCTAGTTGAAAATACTGATGTCGAGAACCTTAAGAAGAGTAATGCAGTGACTGGGAATGCATCTAATATATTTTAATACCGTATGTTACCTTAGAAAAGTACTTGCGGTGGCATTACCAAGAGAACAGCCTCTCAGTGACGTCATGGGGTAATAGCAACCCGGCTCGTGCGAGTGACAGATATGTCCTCTGCTCCTTGCGCGCGTAATCAATCAATCAATCAATCAATCAGTTTATTATCACACAACGACGATAAAACTGCCGTCCACTGACCCCGACCGTGACTTTTGCGATTTTCGCTTCATGGAGAATGCAAAATTCGCAAACTCGGTGGAACTGTCTTGGCTTCTCGGGTGAATGCCCATTGCTTCAGGGCTCCATGGCTTGCTGATGCTTAGTGACGAAAAGGTTAAATTCAAAGTAAAATGTTTTATACTTGTCTAACTGGCGTGCGGGGAGCGTTAGCGCTGTCTACAAAATAAACGTAAGATGTTCCTTTTTGCTACGTTAAAAAATTGTGTCAGTACTCATTTAACTGCTGTATTAAAGTTTGTGCAGGGATGTGATTAGATGTACGTAGAACCATATACAGGCATCACGTTCAGAAATGAAGTTAAGGAAATTTACAGTAAACACGCCTACGCAATTTGAACTCGTGACCACGAGTCAGCATGCGTGTTCACTAATAACGCCACGCTAAGGCACCGTATGGAAGGAGAAAAAAATTTCTACAGAGCGTAAAAAAAAGAAAGAAAGAAAGCAACTAAGGCCCATCTCTCCGAAGGGAACCCTTATGGGGTGTGAAGCAGCAGCGGTGTGCACGGCATTGACCTGGTTGAAACGGGCGTTGACGCGGGTGCTGGAAGAACGGTTTGAAGCGAAACTCGGTGTAGCACTTACTCGAGCAAACGTTTGTTTGAAACGCAAAGACACGGAAGACGGGACGCGTCGAAGACGCTTGCCTTCTTCGGCTCGCGTCTCGTCGGTGTTACCCGCGCGCTGTCTGTATTCTCGAACGCGATCTTCTTAACTCACACCTCATCAGTGTTGACGTCACCATTCGTGAACGCGATCGGGTTCGCTAACCCTCGCAATGCCGGTGACAGCCGGGAAAGGTACGCGCAAACTAGTGGAAATTGGGAAGCATGTCACGACGGCGTCCCTCCCATCGGCGCGGCAAGCAGCAGTGCGCTGTCCGAATTGTTGGCACCTCCCCAGCCGGATCGCGCGGCTTCGCGCCGACAGAGGTGGCGCGGGTGAGACGATGCCCACGTGAGGAGTGTGCTCGAGCGTTGCGAGCGGTGGAGAGGGTGAAGTGAGAGAGAGCTGACACGTGGCAGGCGAGGGAGAGAGACGTCACCTTGCAGTGCTAGGAGGGCGTGAGCTACTTGGCAAGGGAGCGGGGCGGACGGAGGGATTGCGTTAGGGCAATGATAGTGTGTATAGGTGTTCTGTGGTTAGGGCCTTAACACGCGCTCGCCGCACAGCCGCAACGCACGTGCCGGCAACCTGCCGCGCCCAAGCGGAGAGTGAAAAAGCGTCGCCAATCGGTTTATTTGTCCCCCGCTTGCGTGCGGTAGGAGTCCCGGCACGTGCGTGGCGGCTGTGCAGGTAACGGCAGGCTAATAAAAGAGCTGCTTCGCACTTTTAAAAAACAAGGTCGTGCCGTGTGCAAACTTGAGCACACAGTTTGCCTTTTATAGGAGAACGAAGGGTCTTTTTCGGGGTTACATACATGTGCAGTCTTACTGAAACCGAGGCTATGCAGTGATCAAACAATATGTTTTTCGATATTCACAACCCGCCCCAATGTGGATAAGGACTACGGTTCGATCGCGGCCACGGCGGAGCATTTCGGTTGAGGCGAAATGGTAGAGGCCCGTCCGTGTACTGTTCGGCTTCAGTGCGCGTGGAAAAACACCACATGGTAGAAATAGCCCTCCACTTTGGCATCTCTCATAATCATTTAGTGGTCTTGGAGCGTTAATAAACTCAGATATTTTCAATGGTAACATGCGTATCAATTTGTATAAGTGATGTGCCTGTTAGATTGTGCGTATTGAAAAGGAGACTGCTGATCATGATTGACGTAGTGCTAAAGACGAAACTAAATACAGGAAAACAATGCCGGGAATAGCAGACGTATGCGTATAAGTCCGACAGTACAGCAGATCACTTATCCACGCGTGCGCATCCTTCAACATGTCACATGAGCCAAGCAGAGAAGCTAACCCCTTGCCTGTGAAGACACGACCACTCGTGCTGTGCACTCTATGTTCCTATTTGGCCTTCGTCAATCATGCAAACATGCGCACGTATGTCCTCTATTCTGGATTAATGATGCAGGCAGTTCTGTAGGAAGTGCCGCTCATCCTGTTCCTCGCTTTGTGTGTTTCGCGCCCAATATATAAGCAGCATTCTTCGTTGTCGGCGTTGCAGGGGGTCTACTCTACGACCGGCTGAATACGCAGCTTCTGAGCGTGCTGTTCACGGCGCTCACGTCGGCCAGCGTGTTCGTGACGCCATCGTCCGGTGAGCTTCTGTACGCGCATGGCACGTCCGTGCTGGCGGGATTTTCCATGGGTGCCTTGGACACCGGTGAGTTTCTGCGTTTCGAGCGGAACCGCGATTTTCTACAACTTTGTGCACTGTCCACTTCGGCCTCCGCGTGCTCCCTGTTTCCGGTATTTTTTCCGCAACGTCATTTTAACGATTGGTATACAGCGCGAGATCAGAACGACGACAAAGGGACAAAAAGAAGACGAGTGATGAGGCGCCGCCCTTGTCGTCATTTGATCTGGCGCTATAACAATCGTCGTATCATACCCACTAGTCCAAACCACCGCGCCTGTAAGTCATTTTAACGCCACGAAGTTTTCACAATGGTCGGCACAAACGAGAGGGACGGAATGCGCTTCGCCATAACGAATGTCGCCCCCAGAGATAGGCATTTGGACGCCAATATCCGAGACCGTGCACGAACTCTAATCACATTAGCCCTTGAATTGGGCTTAAACGCGGCCGTCCGCATGATGCACTTCGAAGGTCGATACGCATCCCCCGCATCGTTATCATACGTGCATACGCAGGTGCGGACACGTCAAGTTCCGTTACAAGCCCATTTCGTCCACATTCCCTTTTGGCTGGCAGGTTGCTGGCGGGCTCAGCTTTTTTTAAGTAACTAAAAGCGCTCTCCGAAGTGGATATATCCACCAGGTGGGTACGTCGAGAAGAGCTCCCCAGCATAATAAATTTATTCATTATATTGAGGTGAAAGCCTTGGATGCTTTAATTCAAATGCACCTTCGGCTGCATCGGCAAGAGTAAGGCAAAAAGTAATCGCGACGCCACTGTGACGCCACATATGAGGATGGCGTCGTCATTACATATAATTGTCGTTCGGTCGAATATATATGTCGATCACGAAGGTGGCATTGCGAAACCACGCGAGGGACAGGGAGGCCTCCAATCCTGGAGTGTAATAGAATAGCTGCATTCATTGCCTGCCGGGGGCAGATATAAATGATGATACATGTAGAGTTACTGTGTAATACGCTATACCTTTAGGTTGCATCGACCGATATTTTGCCTTCGAGTCGTCTTAGGTGCTTGCCCTCTTCAATCCCAGTTCATTTCAGGGGAGGGCACTCCAAATTGATTAAACGAGGTATTGCAAGTTCCGCTGTAATCAGGGCCGACCTCAACGAGTGTTTACCAAGCCTTCGAGGCTGCGTCAAGCAGGATCCTGATTCTCTCATTCTATGATCAGCGATAAGCTGGTGCGAGAAACCAAGGGAGCACTCACGAATGAACAAGAATAATATAACCGTTCTGTCTACACCCCCATATGTACGTTCCTTCTCCCACAGACAGAGGTGCAACAGCTGCGCTAATTTAATAAAAATATCCATTTCTGCGCCGTGCCGCGCCAAAACCATGGCATTTACGGAAATCCGGCCACGCTGCGCCAAAATGCCCGACCAGCCTCAAACTTTTCTCAGATGCGCTGATTTCAGCAAGAAATAGAGGTCACGTTGGTCACCTGCAGTTTGCACCATCAATCAATCCAAGCGCGCAGACCCTAACTCACGATGTCAGATGTATTCCCATTACGTCAGGGCACCCGCGATCGACCAGTTAAAGTAACCAAGCCATGCGCCCATCGGTCCGCTGACTGCAGCAGATACATATCGGAGGGACGACGCAACTTCTAGACAAAAAAACGCCAGGCCGAAGGCGCAGCACAGTCACAACGAAAGCTAGAAGAGCATTTTCTAAACACTCATTGGGTAACTGCTACGAGCAAACTTGCTTTATACCCACTACGGCACTTATAATAAACATTTTTAGGTAGTAGGCCGGCCTGCATTCGCTATGCTATTTTTCGTCATTCTTCTGAGAAGTGTGGTATGCGCCAAACACTTGCAAATGAATTTTGTGCCCATTGAGTTTCGTCTTCTATTCGAAGTTTATCATCATCATAGTTTTAAACATACATCACTTATCCAGTGGTTGAATGGAAAGGGGTGGTGAAAAGGCAACTGAATGCCTGACAATGCACCGATCCCCGCCCAGACCACAATAATGCACAACACTCAGCATGTGTGTCTAGAGCATAAATACATAGATTCAATACAGTGAAATATACAAAGTGTAGACGTAGAGCGTGGAAAAGATAAGAAATAATTACCATATATAAATGCACTCTTTACACATAAAAGCCCTTTAAAATCCTATAAAAACAAAAACGTAGTTGTGAACAGTTGTGAGGAAGTGAAAAATTTACAGTGCGTTTCAGCAAAGCTACACGAGTTGCACTTCATTAACACACAAAAAAGACATATCACGTTTGAAGCATGAGTAGATAAGCGTGTATCTTCTTTTTGAAAATTGCTGGGGATTGACTTTCATTCACTATGGTGGTGGCCATGGTATTTGAGTTTAAAAACGAAGGAATAAGGTGCGCTAGCTTTGTCTACCGTAGTTGGTCCGAGTCCTCTCACTGTGCCAATTCTTCATGCAGTGGCTGATGACTATGAGGAATGATGCCTGAAGTGGGTATGTGCCACAGGTAATAGGGAAAAAAGGACAATCTTTTGTAATGGGTTGGAGCACCAACCACCCACCGCGCTCTTTGCATCGTGCGACGACTGGATGTTGTTTCGCTGTTTTAAACTGCTTCATAACTCGTATTAACGCGATTGCCTTCTCGACATCGAGACTGGGTAAGGTAAGTTTGCCAACAAGTCCCGAACACCGGCGTAGACCAGCATTCGCTATAGCGAAGGCTGGTCTACCACCCAGAAATTGCCCGTAGTGGGTGCCCAGCAAATGTGCTTGCAGCAGTTATCCAATGAGTGTTTATAAAAGGCTCTGAAAGGCCGCTCTTCTAGCTTTCGCTGTGCTGCGAAGGCCTGGCTTTTTTTTTTTTTTCGCGAGCGAACAGCCAACGCGCTGCGGACGCCGGTGAACACGTTGGTCGCGATAGCAAAGGCACATGAACCATTTTTCTGTCTTTAAAGGGCCAGTTAAAAGTCCTCCTGAACAAGCTCGGATATTCGCAGAGTATACCGCAGCGATCACGTTTCTGAATATTATTGCGCTGCGCAAAGCCTCCATTTCGAAAAACAATTCCTGCGCTCCTTTCCTACGCCTGACCAATGCTCCTTCTACGCGCAGTGACGCCAGCTCTGCGATTGGTGATGTGACGCAGCTCGTCGATTGGTTCTAAACCAGGTCTGAACAAACAGTAGTGAAGTCGACCGTTCCTGTTACTACCCACGTCAGAGCTGTTCAATCATACGAGTTGCGAAACTCCCCATAGCTCCATCTGTCGAACATGTCACTGGCCCAGTTTTCGGGAGGGAGTAGAGTGCCTCACGCATCGAGGCACCCTAGGAGTGGGCAGATTGTCGCGCCACCTGCTTATCAGCACAACCACTATTAAACGCATTTTTTGTTTTGTGTTTTCTGCTCCCAGATGGCGCGACAGTCTGTTTAAAGCACTGGGGTTTAGTGAACGGGAGGGCAAAATAAACTTTAAGCGGGTAGACTAACCAGAAGGAGGTTATCTGATGGTGGCTAAAGTCAAGACAAGAGTGAAAATTAACTCTTCACTGCAAAGTACGAATTCTCAAACTCACTTTTAAGGAAAAAAAATAAATATAGTTTTTGGTTCATTAGGTATTACGGCTTGGTGGCGCTAGCCACCGCCCGATCTAAAGGGTACAGCCATATCCATCCATCCATCCATCGCTAGATATACTGTAATGCTACCCGTAGGGAGCATATACAGTAACTCTATTTAACGCTAGAGTTACTGTATATGCTCCCTACGGGAGCAGAGTTAGGGTGGCTAGAATGGGGAGGTGTGATGACTGCGGCGGCGTCCTCTTGCCTAGCGAGGCCCCCTATGCGCGTTCTCGCCGCTGGGGGAAATTTGGCGCGTCAGTCTGGGGCGCTGTTGGCGTGTGCCGACTGTGAGCATGTGTTGCTCGTGTCTCGTTGGTGACGGAGCAGCGCAAGTAAGCTGTCGCTGTTCGCGAAGTACGGCCCTGCTTTTTCTATCGCTTCCCGATTTCTTGAAGGAGATGATGTCAGCGGTTGTCGTCGATTTTTGAACCGCTCTGAAGAATGCCGTCGACGGGGAAAAAAAACGCAGAGGTGGTGCTTTGTGCCAGGTTGCGACGCCGGCTACAAGTCCTGCGGTGAAAGACTGTCTCTCTTTTGTGCACCTGCCCGTGAGGATGAATTTGAAAAGTGGGCACGTGCCATACCAAGGGCCGACAAGCCACTGCAAGAGAATTCTGCAGTTTGCGAAAGGCATTTTGACCCAAGGTACGTATGGAATTCGTACATGTTTAAGCATATAGAAAACTTGAGGTTTCTACAAGTTAACACACTGACCCGGTGTGACACACGGGTCATGAGCAGCAGAAGTGCAGTGGAAAGAGCCAGACTAATTCAGATGATCGGTTGTTCTTGTACTTACATTGGCATGTTGCTCCACGTGGGCGCGTTTTGCGTTCTGCCTCCATCGACCCGCGGCTAGATGTGTGTCACCTACGCTCTAGCACATGCATTAATTGTTGTTTCGTTGCTTGGAAATCCGAAGTGCCTTCATTACAGAGGCTACGCTCACTTTTTATTATGTTTTCAGGTTTATCATGAGACACTACGTGCACATTGTGAATGGAAAGGAGGTCCATATACCACGCGATGTGCCTGCCCTTAAGGAGAGTGCTATTCCAACAATTTTCCCGAACCTTCCAAAGTATATGACGAAAACTCTGCCAAAAGAGAGGAAGAGGAGAATGGGATAGGGCTCTTCCGTGCCTGCAAAAAAGAGCCGCGAGGACACAAAGAAGAGCCGCGAGGAAGCACCAGCTTGTGACGACGTTACACTACCTGTCGAAGCAGCAGAGGTTGCGATTGACCACGCTGACTACGTTGAAGAACGCAGTGATGACCGCCTCACCTATTATATTGCAGGATATGTAGCCAGGAAGCGGATCTTCTCAACCCAATGCGAAGCTTGCAAGGATGCCTGCCTCGTCACACGTGATAGTGTGACGGATCAATTGCCAGCAGAAGCGTGTAAAAAGTGGGACATGGGGGGCCTTCTTTACCCCCTCTGTCCGTCTATATAGTCTAATCAAAACCCTTGAGGATAGACTAACTCGTGCATTTAGCACCACGCGCTTGCACACCAAAGTTGTGAAGGATTTTTTTGCGCCTAGCAGCCAATGTGCCACAAATTGGCTGCAGTGAGCATTCAGCTTCTTTAACAACATCGGTTGTCAGGTTCTACAGCATTACGCGTGTCCATTTTCTGCTGAAAAGGCTAAACCAGCATGCTGTGCAGAATAAAGCCAAGAAGGTGAAGTTCTGTGTTATGTAATGTTTTAATGTACTGTTTCCAATAAACTTGTATCAAGCCACCAGTCTTGTAGTCTTGTACTTTATTGCATTCTTCTGCCGCACTGCATAAAAACTGCATTGACTTCCACTCTTTAAAGTACTATTGCAATCGAAAATGTATAACAAATATGCGAGCGACACACACAGGGTTGTTGCCACCTGCTGGTCTGCGGGAGAGATTCCTCTAAACTATTTTTCGCGTGACAAGCGCGCCCACCTCGCAAGAAGTGGCCGCGAAACCCACGCTCTGTATCGGCTGCGTGGTTTGCGCTTGTAGATTACACGTACAAGTTTCTCGACGTCAACAACATAATTGAAAAGACTACAGCGGTAAAACTGAGCGCGGTCGAATCATTTACCCGCCCAGAGGCAAGTAGACGACGCGAGAAAAGCACAGCGCCCCCACCGGCAGCGCCATCGCGCGGCAGGAACGCGCTTTTGGGCCAGCCTCCGGAGGCTGGTCATCACACCTCCCCATTCTAGCCACCCTAGCAGAGTTGCGCATAGGTCCGCCATTATGTTCCACGGTTTCTATAAGTTACAAAAAGGGTTGAGGCTCGTGTGCTTAGATTTAAGTGCATGTTAATGAACCCCAGGTGGTCGAAATTCCAGGAGCCCTACACTACGGCGTCTTACTTTAAAATATAGTGGTTTTGGGAAGTTAAACACAACAAATAAATCAGTGATGTGAAAGTGAATAAACAACGTAACTCCGTCGTGATAACGCCGCAGTGCGGTTTTTACACCAGGCGTACAATGTTTCTGCAAAAACAATTTTGTGATCGCCTGGTTCCTTTTGAGACTGCTAGATGAAGCCACCTATGTTGGGGGTTCACACGTTTGCGGCTTCCATGTTTCAGTCACTTTAGCTTTGGTAATCCGGCTGAAGCAATCTAATCGCCATTGGCGCTCGCACTTCGGCTTATTATGACACGATGCCTGGAATGTCCGCAATGAGGATATCGCGAGTTTCTACGCACGAAGGTGGATTTGTGAAACAGCGCCGTAAATATACAGCCTACCCGGCGGGTGATTTACGTAACATAAAGGTTTACGTTCCGTAAAGACCTGCGCATGCGCAGATTCCATCCGGTAACATGGTAACGCGAATCGTACACGTACATGTAAAGCGCCTAACGGCAGTCGCGATGAGGCTGAAGTCTGTGCGGGCAGAGAACGTGTGGGCGCCGCGCCATCGTGCACGTGAAATTGGCTTCGCCGCGTGAATTGCAACATTTGACGTCACTTTCGTTCCACGTGACAGCGCTCGCTAAATAGCGGCGTGAGCGGTGGAAGGAAAAGGTATGCGCAGCTCTGGTACCTAAAGGTAGCATATGAAGTATCTATACTTAACGCATCCAGACTTCTGCAACGCGTGTTATACGTTCATTCCGTTAATTAAAACGGCCACAAGCACTCGCAAAATGCACCGCGGGCGACACAGAGCTCTCACAGGGAAGGCAAAACTACAGGGGCAAATGTTTCCGCCAAAGTTGGCGGCAGCTTAACAACAACCACCCCATAGTCTGGCAACTGACTAATTGAATAATATGTGGGGCTTAACGCCTCAAAACAACCGCATGATTATTCGATCACCTTAGTGGAGGGCTTCGTGAATTTCGACCACTTGCGGTTCTTTAACGTGCACCCAATTTGAGCACACGGGCCTACAGCATTTTCACCTCCATCGAAAATGCAGCCGCCGCAGCCGCGATTCAATCCCGCGATCTACGGGTCAGCAGCCGAGTACTTTAGCCACTAGACCACCACGGCGGTACATGTTCAGCCTTCACTACCAGTTCTATCTACCTTGTTATACTCCACAAAACAACGTTGCGGTCCCCTCCGCCCCCCAAGGGATCGAATAAACAGGGGGTCCGATAAGAATAATCATCATCCGACTTGCTTGCGTTCTCTTTCTTAAAAACTTAGTACTGGCCACGAATTTCCTACCAAAAAAAAAGCTATATCACACTGATCGTTTGTGACCTGATAGTGCCGGACGCGCGGCGATATTGCAAGGAAAGAAACGCAAGATAGGTGACAATTATTTTTGTAGGATACCCTTTTCACTCGTTCTTTTCTTGGAGTACTGATCCGAAACTATGAAAACTGCCACTTTCGGCTCCACAGGTGCAAACGTGTGGCTCATCAACTTGTGGCCTTCCGGGTGTGGTCCGGTGCTCCAGGTATACCACCTCGCATTTGGAGTGGGCGCCTTCATAGCGCCATTCGTTGCCGAGCCCTTCCTGTCCTGCAACACCTCAGTGACTGCAAACACCACCCGTCATGGCGGCCTGCTGATCGGCGCAGACACCCTTTCGAGAGAACCGCAACTACCGTTCGCGTTCGGAATCGTATCGGGATTCATAGCACTCGTGGCGACATCGATGTTTGTCGTGTACCTTGTGGACCGATCGGACTGCAAGCCGTCCGGAGGCGAGCAGTCGAGCCAACCTGTGAACTTGGTCCTAGTAGGCCTCTTAGGATGCTACATCATGGCGTACTTGGGACTGGAATGCTCCTACGGCCAGATGCTGGCCACTTTCGCCGTTGAGAGCGATCTTCGGATGACCAAGTCCGAAGCCGCCTATCTGACGTCCCTCTACTTCCTAACATTCACAGTTGCGAGGATTGGTTCTGTGCTTTGGTCCATGCTTGCCAGACCCTCTTGCATCCTCATCACTTGCCAACTGCTCACTGCTGTCATCTTCACTCTGCTGGTGGTGTTCGGTGATTCCTCCGCCACATGGCTGTGGACTCTGTCGGGACTTGCGGGTGTTTCGCTCGCGGCCATCTTCGCTGCTGCCGTGTCCTACACCGTACAGTTCGTCGTCATGACCAACAGGCTGATGTCTATGGTGACGGTGGCGGCTTCCCTGGGAACCATGGTGCCTCCGCTTTTTGTCGGCCTCTTCATTGAGAAAGACCCCATGATGTTCACTTACGTTTGTCTCGCGACTGCTCTCATAATGAGCGCTTTTTGCTTTGCCATGTACCTGGTCACTAGGGGCAGACCATTGGTCACTGCGGACGTTTCAGAGACACAAGGAGGCCACGTCGGCTGAACTGTGTACGTCAAACGCTCGCTGAGGAGCCATATAGAGAAAGATAGAAAAAGAGATTTTTTCAAATAATAAATTCTCCCGGCGTATATAAATGCACCTATTCTGTGAAGGAAATGGGAATTGAGGACAGGATAGGCCCTAAGAGTATGAGGAATACGAGAAAAGAGGATAAAAAGTATCACTGATTTAATTGTGATATCTGCATTTCTCCACGAAATGATGATGGTATATTACGTTACAGTTTATAAATAATGTCCTATAGGTATCTGAACAGAAATTTCAAAATCTGACGTCGCATGCTGAGAAGGATGAGTAGGTCCAAGTATTTTCCCGAGATCTAGCAGTTCGTGGGAAGTTGAGCCTATTCTACTTCGGAAACAAGATCTTTTTTTTTGTGTGTGCCTGGCAATTTAACAAAAAAAAAATAGATTGATTCTAAAACACCACCGTTGTTCATGCATTTTACGAAGAGCCATAACATGGTCACTCAAAAATTTGTGGTTCTCTGTGGTAGGGGCACTTTATCTATGCAGATATGAAGAGTGGGCCGCAAAAGAATATTTCACTGCGCCCCATTCGCCTCCACCTCGGGTGGCCGCACCATCGTTATGGATAGGCGGCTCGCACGAATGCAGTGGTGCGTTTTGCGAGAGCTGTGAGCCCATTTTTGGATGACAAAATGCGTCCACTGCAGCCTAATCTCGTAGTATGTATGTTGTTCATTGCCTAATAGACGCAGGAAGCTTGCTCATCGTTACAATTACTTGTGAGAGAAGCGCAATCTGCCAATCAAAGGAATGTTCGCGCTTGGAGACTGTCTCTGTTTGCGCATTGCGACACGTTTGTTGTCTCTTCTTTAAAATGCGAAGCATTTATTAGCGAACTTCGGCGACTTTGAGCGTACTTATCTATCTATCTATCTATCTATCTATCTATCTATCTATCTATCTATCTATCTATCTATCTATCTATCTATCTATCTATCTATCTATCTATCTATTTAGAAAATCTATCTATCTATCTATCTATCTATCTATCTATCTATCTAGATAATCTATCTATCTATCTATATATCTAGATAATCTATCTATCTATCTATCTATCTATCTATCTATCTATCTATCTATCTATCTATCTATCTATCTATCTATCTATCTATCTAGATAATCTATCTATCTATCTATCTATCTATCTATCTATCTATCTATCTATCTATCTATCTATCTATCTATCTAGATAATCTATCCATCCATCCATCCATCCATCCGCTTACGACTTTTAGCTCTTCTGGCCGTTCCCGTAATAGTATCGATACCAAACGTGGTATGACATGACATGATCATAAGACGAGCATAAGTGACTAGTTTTAACATGAAAATCATGACTGTGTGTCATGAATGTCATGATTTACATTCCATGGTCTTCCTGCTGTTGCGGTGGTTTCGTTAACATGACATGTTGAAAAACTGGTATGGTATGGCATGATTGCATGGCGAACACAAGCGACAGACCCTAACATCAAAATTATGACATGCGTGTCATGTAACAACATGACTACATGCCACGCTCATGATGCGCTCGCGGTCGTTTTCACATATGCCAAATTTGGCTTCACATATGCCAAATTTGGTATTACGTCACGTGAATAGATGGTGAGGGTGTGTGACTGGTGCAAACATGATAATCATGAGATGCGTGTCCTGTAAGAACATCACTATATGCCACACTCAAGGCGCCAATACGCTTAAACGTGACCCGGCGCGCCGGCGTTCGATTAGTCGCGTCACAACGGCTATGCCACGCCAGGCGCAGATCTGCCTGCCATGCAGGTGTCCGCCACGGTGCATTGCTTTGACGCATGCGCGTTTGAGCGCGCCCGGCGTCCCTCCGTGAAGAAGAGATTGATTGATTTGTGGGGTTTAACGTCCCAAAACCACCATTTGATTATGAGAGACGCCGTAGTGGAGGGCTCCGGAATTTCGACCACCTGGGGTTCTTTAACGTGCACCCAAATCTGAGTACACGGGCCTACAACATTTCCGCCTCCATCGGAAATGCAGCCGCCGCAGCCGGAAATCGAACCCGTGACCTGCGGGTCAGCAGCCGAGTACCTTAGCCACTAGACCACCGCGGCGGGGCTCCGTGAAGAAGAGAGGCAGGCGCGGTGCTGTGTGGGTAACGTAGTCGCCGCGAAATGCAGCATGTCGCATTTCGCGCCGGTTGCTGCCGGGTCGCGCCGACGGACGCTGGTCGCGCCTGTGCTCGCGTTTTGCTATAGTGTAGCGTCGCTGCACCCAGCATGCGCGCGCGTCAACGTGGCATCGGTGTATATTGGGCCCTTAATGATGCACTCGCCGCCGTTTCCTAGCTTCGCGTATACCGAATTTGGTATTACGGGACGTGAATGGACGACGAAGGAATGTGATCATGACTGGTGCAAACGTGATAATCATGATATGGAAGTCATGTACAGCATAATTTACCTCCGCCCCGTAACGTTTTGCTTTCAACTACAAGTTTATTACTGGAGTAGCATGCATAGTCATGCTAGAACCCCATCAATACGAATGAAGAGATGAAGAAAAACAATTTAAAAAACCATATTCTTGCACCTTTTCTGTAATATTTATTCTGCCAATTGAAAAATGAACTTTTCTCTGATAGCGTTATGGAAGTAGCATTGGTGCACAATCACTCTATATATAGTGTTTTTTTCCCCTCTCTGTACGTACTTTTATACTTATGAGCATTGCTGAGGTATTCAATGAACCTCTATTACGAATGTTATTTTTTTTTTCGTGCAGCTTCTGATGACAGCCCTGCCTCTTAGCTCTGTAGCTGACTGTTAAACAATGAAACTTGTTATGTGCTCTGGTTTTCAACACCTCCAAATCGAAAAGCTGATACAACAGAAAATAAGATTATACAACAATTGAAGTGGTGAACATATGGTATCGGTGAAACTGTTTTATTGCTCATTCTTGCTCCAGATGGTACAAGTTGACTTCATTAAGGGAGGCAGCATACATAAACGAAAAAAAAATGTATCAGGTCAAGTTTCCAGGCAAACATCAATGATGATGTATGTGCAATATTCTGGTCCTAGTGCAACATTTTCTAAAGGACTGCAACCAAAATACCACAGCACGAAGAAAAATATTTATGAGAATAATGTGAATAAAACTTGCTAAAGTTAAAGCTTGAGCAAGTTCGTTCACAAAGTAAGAAAAGAAAGAGCACGAAAATGGCAGGAACAGAGCGCTGACTTGCAACTAAACTTTATTGGGGAATGTGAACACATTTATATCATGACAAGATAAACACAAGTGACTGCCACAATATCAAAAATGTTGCTGTACCGTCAACATCACCATGTCACCACTCTGCCTCACAACGCACGTGTTCATCTCCAGTAAAAATGGATCTCTTTCTGAGAGAGGGTTATTGACTCATTACCAACGCCAGGGGGAAAGTGATCTTAAGTGAAAAGAAGAGAAAAGCGAGCCCCGTAACTGTCTCTTAGGGGGAGGACACCTCAACAGTAGCTCACGAGGGATGGGGGTAGAGAAGGAATTAAAAGGATAGTATTAAAAAGTAAAGAGATAGAGAGAGAGGAAGGAGAGAGCGAGGCGCAGGGACAGCGAACGACGGAAGTAAGGAGAAGACAGGAAAGATGGACACGGTTGCAGGAGTCAGGACGGGGCACCACTGGCGAGAGCTCTTGTCGGCGTCAGGAGGTCGCGTAGTAGGCCACAGCTACGCTGTCGTCGAAGATCGGCGTCGGGAGATGGCACAGGGCCAGCCCAGTCGGCCAGAGCTAGGCTGACGTCGGAGATCGCGAGGGCACAACCGGTTGGCACGAATCCAGCGAGCGAGTGATCACTAAAGGGGACCTTCAGCACTATTCAAACGCCCGTGTTTTGTTCGAGGTTTGCGTAGACTAAAGTACAGACAGACTAATGCAGCAAAAACGGCATGCAGTCTGAAGTTATTAGACATAAAAAAATTCAAAATACAAGAAAAAAATGCCGACCCGCTACTCGATTTTCGCTGGTTCACTTGACCAAATTCACTCGCCGTGACACCGGAAGGCTGCCCCGATGAGATAAGCTGGAAGCACATACGTAGAAGCTCGAACCCCATCCTTGCTTTTTTTTTCGATGTAATGTTGACCTTGTGGTGATTCGCCAGAACGCGAGCGAGATCTACTGTGTCGAAGCAATGTATTTTCTGTCGTTTTTACAACCTTCCGAGTCACTCCATTCTCTTATTCTGAAAAAGGAACTTGTTTAACGACCAAGACAGAGAAGTGTTGTTGACCCTTCGGGGGGCTGCCAATTAAGGGCATGTGACCATTCGAGCCGCCACCCACCACGTAGAGCAACAGAGGATACAAAAACTCCAATCAACCTTAAATGGCAGTCCCCCGAAACGCCTACTGGTCCCATACGTTCAGGGAACCAGCGAGATGTTGGCGCGGATCTTCAAGAAAGAAGGGGTTCGCATCGCGCACGTGCCTTCGTGTACGCTGGGCCGCCTCCTCCCTCGCCCGAAAGACCGGCCAACAATGGACAGGACCCCCGGTGGCATTTACTAAATTAAGTGCGCCGAGTGCCCCTCCTCGTATATCGGCGAGACGAAAAATGTACTGGAACGACTGAAGCAACACGCCAACGATGTACAGAAGCTCTGCAAAGAGCGCAGCGCAGTCGCCGAATATGCTGAGACGTTGGATCACCGGATAAATTTCGAAACGACGGCCATCCTTGAAAGCGAGCCGAACTGGAGGTGCTTGCGGCCGCGTTTGCTTGCTTTGCGTATAACCGCTACACATTAGTTTCACTTGTTTTAAACAACCGCGCACACACCACACCAATGTATTTTAAAGCGCTACGCGTTCATTTCGCTAAGAAGAATGTGTTGCAAGTCCTGAGTGGTGTTAAGCGACGGGGAAAAAAAAGCGAACTGCTTTTAATTCTGACGGAACTGGCATGCCTCACGGAACTGTTCAGTGCCTGTCCTGTGTAGTTATCATCGCGTTGCGTTATTTTTACGTGTTTTTACTGTTTAATATGCTTCAGCTAAACTAAATCACTTGCTCGCATGCATAGCTGACTTTAGTGTTTTCTCCTTTCGCGAAATGTAAACTCTTTAAAATTTAAGTGTACGGCTTTTCTCGATCTCT